AGACAGTAACATCGACGCCTGGTTAGTATCACACCCGACCTGACCGGAGAGACAAGTAAGTAAGTACGGCTTTCTCTGTTTTACATATTCTATTCTATTTAGTGGATGTAAAGACATATGACTCTGAAGATTTTGGTTGTTTGCATCAAACAATAAGATCTAGATTTCTATTTATTTATTTATTTATTTGATATCTTCGTAGGTCTAATTCCAAGTTGTTATCAATCTAATTCAATGCTATTCATCGTTTTCAGTCATTTGATTCCTCTTAACTGGCTGGCATTTTTCATCTGCTCTCCTCTCCTCTCCTCTTGGCAAGTGTTTTACCAGTTGGAATAATTCTTACTTACTTACTTACATTTTGCATGGTTGTTGTTACTTTGGATTAGAGCCAGCCAGCCAGCCCAGCCGTCTGTCTGTCTGTCTGTCTATCTCGTCTAACGAAGCTAACTGTCTGCCTGTGAGTGATTATGAATCCCTGAATATTGACAAATTACTCACTCGCTCGGTAAGTAATTGAAAATAATAATAATAATTTTTATAATTATAATAATAATTTACTTAAACGTGTGTCATGTGTTAGTGGAACTCCTCATCAACTTGTTTGTTGTGGTGTATGAACATCTTAACCATTTTCATTATTATCAGCAATTATCGATGGCGAAATCACCTTACAGCCAAGGATGGCGATGACTACATGGCATCGTCACTTAAGAGACAGCGGACGATAAATATAAGAGGATGGATATTTGTCAGTTCGCGTATTCAATTCTCATTTTCAGTATATTATTATCATTATTATTATTACATCATATCATATTATATTATAAGTATTATTATTATTATTATTATTATTGTCTCGTTTCATTCCTAGATGAACATAAGACTACAACCGTACATCTCCATTGCTTTGGTTTCTATGCCAAAGTTTTCATCACCTGGTTCATCACTATATCTGCTTTCATCATTCGTCCGTCCGTCCGTAGTTGAAACGATGCTTCTCAGTTGTATATGTATGCATATATATCATCGGCGAAATGCAGATCGTCCTATTGTTTTTGATGTGGGTCCATTTGATGCCTGTCTCCTCGTTTCCCGGCCTGGCCCGTCGCTGTCTGTCTGTCTGTCTGCCTGCCTGCCTGTCTATCGCATTGTCCAGTCTACTGCAACCAGGAAAACAATCATTGCAGACACAGGC